GGGATGGTGAGTAGTGGAGCAGCGGCAGCGCAGTGTCTGTGTGGCCCTGCTCTTGCCCTGCCCTGGCCCTGCTCCTGTGAGGCAGTGGTGTGGGGTGGGCTCCATCCCCGCCCACCCCCACCTACCGCCTGGGACCTTTCAAAGCACCCCCAGGGGCTTTCACAGGCCCTTGGTTGACAGCCCATGACCTAGAGATAAGACTTCCTGAACACTATTAGCTGCAAAGCCTGAGTTCTTGTTAATTTCTGGTGCCAACTTAATCCATGCAGTAATGTTGGCTTCTGACCCTAAAGGATACCAGTGCTAGAGTGAAGACTGGCTCCTCTTTTCATCTGAAAAATCTCCCAGTGTGAAACTTAAGTTTTAAATTGACAGTCTTTCCATTGCAAAGGAATTATGTTACCAACAGTGATTTTAAAGGTCTAAAAATTGTATTAAAAAACGTTAGCTGTCATTCTGCTTGCTTATTACATGTTACAAAGACTGATGCTGCACCTGAAATCATTAAGCATTTTGTAATTTATTTCAGTGGGAACAGTAATCGAGCCTTATGCTGGTAATTTTTAATGTAGTTTTATATAGTCTTGAGCTTGTGGTAAAAAGTATGAATTTACATTTAACATTTTGTGTTCTGGTTGTACAGGCAGGCAGCAAGCAGTGTCAGCATCCAGAATATCTTTCTGCACTGTCCAAAATGTCAAGACATTAACTTTAATCCATTCCATTGAGTTAAAATTTCATTTACAAACACTTGGTACATTTGATAAATGTAGAACTGAAAGGTCTATCAATATAATTAACAATACCTGTGTGACTAAGAGCATTTCCAGTCACTTGAAGTAGGTTTGGTGGAGCAAAGCAATTGGCAGTAATAATGCCAAGGCGCAACTTTTTAGAAATATTTTCCTTCCTAAGTCAAAATTACTGATCGAATTTTGGTCAACAAAGGCCAGCGTGTATGTACTTTGTCTTATTTTAAAATTGTATCCAAGTGTGTTCCTTACTAGTTAGAACTAGTTTCTACAAATCGTAACAGGTATTTGTAGTAATTTTATTTTTTGTTATGTTTACCAAGCATACAAGAGCCTGACTGTTGACAGGGATTCGTTGTATTGTATGCAAGTTTATACAAACATGCATATATTTTAAATCTACAAAACTGAAAGCATTAATACTACAAACTGGCAATTGTGCTAAGATTAGTGCACAGATGGTCCCTAGTTAGGAAATAAATCCTTAAATAACCCATTTGAACAATGTTAACAGCTACTTGTTTTGGGGAAGTGGGAAGGAACAGTTGTTTAAACTTGAAAAGGTTGATAATGTATTAATATTATAAGTAGCACTACAGTCAGGCAGTGATTTTTGTCAAGCAGTTATCTGATTAATGATATTTTGAGTGTGCATGATGCTTGAATTTTAATGGGAGTAGGAATTAAATAGAGGGAGAGACAGGAATTCCTTTTGTGAAAAGTTTAGAAGCCAAGATTTTTAACTGAGAACTTTATTTTAAAACGTTTGAGTTTGTGTACGTTTTCAAATGTGCACTATTAATTTCTATGTTAGAAATCATTGGAAGTGTCTTAGCACCAGTAGTTTTAAGCAGGGATGACTGTTTTGTTCATGTTCTGCCTTTAAACGACAGTATAGAGAACAGCATCAGAGCACTCAAAAGATCAGTTTCAGTGTTCAGTTTGACATGGAGTAGTAGTAGGTGCCCCTTGGCCATATCATTAAACTGAAAGCTAGGTTCTGCTCACAAATTTAAGCTAAACAAGTAAAAAAAAAGAAAGAAGCGAATTATTCAAGTTCAATCTGCTGTGTTAATGATATTTGAGGGTAGATTGCACTAATTATTCCTTTATAGGAATTGGATTTTCTAATTTGCATCTATACAACTTTCAGTGGCCTATAAAGGGGTAGGAAAAGGCACAACCTTTAACTGTGTGTTACTCGCAAATCTTTCTGATAAATGAACTGGCTTGAATGTCTGATGTTGGAGCATATCCATTTTAACTGGCTGAAAAGTAAGTGTTGTTACGGGTTTGGGTGTTCCTATTTCAGTGTCCCGGGCTAGGATACATGCAGATGCACAGCCATGTACAGCCCTGTCCTGGCACTGAAGGGAGGATGCTTGGAGTGGTCGGAATTCTTCCTGTGATTAAATGATGAAGTGGATAACTGCAAGCACTCATGCATTTGTGTCTTGTCCCTCTCCGGCTTACTGAAGCTTCCTTTTAACAGAGCCCTTTGTTGTAGCCTGTCTGCTAATAACACTCCTGCAACACAGACTTCTTTGGCGGCCTTGCTCTGATCTACTGCGCAGGACCGGGCAGGATGCTGAAGTGCATCTCGTTGGCAGCGAGGCGAGGGAGCCCAGCTTCCTGCAGCCACTGCGGCCCTCCAAGGGCCGTGGTGCCCGTGGGGGGGGGGCTGGAAGCGTACTTGAGGGCTTGCGTATGAGGGGGCTACTTATAATCCTGGAAAACGAGGGCGGCAGGGACCGCGACAGGTCACACCTAGTCCAACCCCCTGCTCCGAGCAGGACCATCCCCAACTCGGTCGTCCCAGCCAAAGCTTTCCTCCGAGCGAGGAAATTCTTCCTCGTCTTCAACCTGAACGTCCCTTGTTCACCCCCTCCTGCCCGCTCGCCCCAGTGGATAAGCGCGAGCTGCCGAGCGCCGGGCGGCCCCGCCCTCTGCCCCGGGGCGCGGCGCGGCGCTTGTGGGGGGGGGCGTTCCCTTGGGTCACGTGGTTTCCGTGTCCCCGCCCACCGCGTGTCCCCCCAGAACGCTGTCCCCGGGCGCAGCCGGAAGGAG